ATGTAAGGACATTTGTTATACATAGAGAGCGTCCTTTTTGAACACTCTCTTATTCGTTCAATAGTGCTATCTTCACTTCCGATAAATTCTTTTTCTGTTCTGTCTTTATGTTATTCATATACATAATGTTCTCATTCTGTACATGTACTTATTTTCACTTGTTTCAATGATTTCGTAATGTTTCTGTACCTAACCTCGATTACGAAAATAACATATAGTGTCTTCTATTCATTTTCCTAAAAATGGTCAACATAATATTTATCATGAATTAGTACCCTAATTACACTGATTCTAAATATCTGTAAATCTTAACATTTGACTTATTTCCTAAAAAGGATATTTACAAAGTGCATTTAGAAATAAACAGTGAGTCATAAGTACATTTATTTCATCAATCAGTAGATCCAGTAATCAAAAGTCAACATTCGTCGACTACTTCCCATAAAATGCATGACGTAATTCTTGCATGACTCCATTCCAACAACTATAGCAACAGTCGAAAGTGAATTTAACAGAGGTGGGCTTGGCATATGTGAACGTCGATCTTCAGTCAATCCACAAAGTCTCAATAATATGCTTTTTCTCGGGTCACTTACTCAATGAGTAGCATTCAAAGTTGTACTTCTTATTGAGTTTTAAATTTCTTTTTGTGATAAAAATATTGCTGTAAATCTTATTTGGGAACATGGATTAGTTAAATAAATGATTCACACTGCAGATGACAGCATAAATTTCTTGTATAGTTTTGAATTCCAGTTCGAGAAACAGGAGCTATGTCGACCTGATAGAATGAGGCGGAATGGGACACGGAAGCGCGAGACATGAGACAGGGTAGAACGACTTTTTTGTCGCCCCATGGAGCTCTGTCAGCGAGCTCTACGTCTTTAAAAGTCTAGTTAGATTTTCATTCACAATAGTGGCGAACTCTACAACTTTTTAAACTTTGCTGAATGTCAATTAAAGTTGAACATTACTTAATATAAGATGAATAATTCATCTTTATCTTCATTCTTTTTTAAATTTTAAATCTTCAAATTACTTTTGCTTGACACATATACGTAGAAGGTGAAACTATTCTGAAATAAATGTTCTCTAGACTGAAAGGATAGGGTCTAGAAACCGTAATTACCGGTGTCTGTTTGTCCATCCGTCTGTCTGTCTGTAACAAGCGTTTGGCACAATTGACCATTTCTATGGCACAATTGACCATTATTATGGCACGATGACCATTTTTATGGCACAAATGACTATTTTCATGGCACAAATGACCATTTTTAAGGCACAAATGACCGTTTTTTATGGCACAAGTGACCGTTTTTAGGGCACAAATGACCATTTTTTTATGGCACAAGTGACGATTTCTATGGCACAAATGACCATTTGTGTGGCACAAGTGACCATTTTTATGGTACAATTGACCATTTTTATGGCACAAATGACCATTTCCGTGGTAGAAATGACCATTTTGATGGCAGAAATGAGAATGTTCGTAGTACAAGTGACCGCTGTCATGGTGTAAAACATCATATATTGTGGTACAAGCGATCATCGTTCCGGTAGAAAATACCGTTAACCGTGGTACAGGTGACCGTTATCATAATAGAAAGCATCATGTGTCGTGGTAAAAGTGGCCATTTATTTGGCATTAGTGCCGATTGTGTGGCTAAAGTCAGTTTTCACGGCACAATCAGCCATTTCTATCTGGCAGTTGATCATTCTTACCGCTAGACTGAGCATGTCTCTGCCATGGATAGCTATAGCCATGTTAGAAATAGCCAGCACTAGGGCAAAAATGAGCATTACTAGTCGTTTAAATCAAGTAAGGTATATGCTTTATCATGTACGTTAATATCTTGCAATGTTTTAGGTCAGGTTTTTATATATCTGTAGGATGCACTATAGAACATTTCGTAAATATTAATTTGTCCTAAACTCATCATTTAACGAAGTTCGTTTTTACGAAAAAACATAAGGACATCTGTGTCGTCATTTCGTCAGTCTAGGGACTAGAGCCCGTCGGGTAGGACCCGAGTCTGAAAAGTTTTTATAATCGGGTTCGGGTCCGGGCCCGGGTCTGAGAATTTTTTATAATTGGGTCCGGATCCGGATCCAGGTTCAGGCCCGGGTTCAGGCCTGGGTCCAAAAACTGGTTTCATACGAATAATGACTTTTTAAGATTTGCTTTCAGCCGTTTTTCATTTTATTCAAAAAGTAATTGTAAATTAACTTGTAAAAGATAGAAAAAATAGTAATAAAACTTGTTGAATATAATATGTAAGTCGTATAGCTGCTAGAGAAAACAAAATAATATGATGATGTTTTACAATGTTTTTTTTATAAATAAGATTTGGCAAAATTAAAATAAGTGTTACTGTTAATCAATAAGTCGTTCAACAAAACAAATAATATAATGTTGTCTTAATTTGTTTTATATAAATATGAATGCATAACAACAAAATAAAAACAAGTATAATTGTGTACTTGTTAAAAGAATGATGTGTCTGCGTTCATTGGTTTTTATAAATATGAACTAGTAACAATAAGGCAACTACACCTAATAATCGTATAGCTATTAAACAAAAGAAATAAAATAAAGCTGTATGAATCTAAATATTTATCTCGGCATCTGAAGTTATTGGCAAAGAATTAGAGCCGATTACAACTTGATTATAGATCATGATCAATATAGCCTAGCTAACATATAGGTCGTGGTAGTGAGCGATATGATTGAAAAAAAAGATCTCATATTTATGACGCACTATCAGATTTCGATAGGAATAATTCATTGAAAATGTCCAGAATGCCGACCAATTCAGAGTTAGAAAAAGTTTAATCAACGGGATATGGGCTCAGGCCCGATAAGTTCTAACCAGCCGTGCCAGGGTCCGGAAAAGTGTAATCGGGTCCGGTTCGGGTACGAAAAAATTCTGTCGGGTCCGGGTCCGGGTCTCAAAACATCCGGTAAACCGGGTTCGGGTCGGGTTCCGGGTCTGAAAATCTTGGACCCAACGGGCTCCACTAGGGTCCAGTGAATCAACATGCAATGTTGATGAACCTTACTTGTTCGATAAGTCATTCGATTCTACTTTTCACTTATTGTCTATGACATATTTTAGGAAAGAAGAGGAAAGGTTTTTGACGAAGCTCATCGAAACTTGATGCAAAACAATATAGTTTTAAAAAATGACAATAAAAATAAAAAGTTGCACGTTTTAAAGTCGATTATAAAATCGTAAAACCCTTGAAAAAAAACTAATTTATTATGCATAAGGTTATTTTAGTGTAACTAAACGATTAAAAGACGTATAAAAACAGCTTATAAGAAAGCTACTTTTAGGCAAATTGTTCTTCACATTTTATAATTTATCATTGTACTTACATCAAGTATGAAACTTTCATTGTCGTATAGTTGTGATAAAGATCTTCTATAAAAGCTTGTTAGCATGTATGCTTGAAGTTTCAATTCTACAATCTATGCATTATTCCACTTTCAGTTGTTCAATTAATTTGTTCTCTTAAAGACGATGATACTAAGTTTTCGCACGAAATAGAAAATTACAATAGATAGATACTATTCATAAGAATTTTTCATAAAAGAGATTTAGTGACAGCACAACAGAAAATGTGTAGGAGATATGTAGAGAATATTTAATTCTTCTAAAAAAGGGCAAGAATTTTCATATTTAAAAAATCAATTTTTGTGACAGCATCATCACAAAACTATATGATCCTTTTTGATCCGAAAAACTTCGTTTGCTATTCTTAAATAATATAAAGATATGTCAGTAGTTGATTTCCAAAACTTATGAACACGGTAAGCAATGTTAGCCTGACCTGCAGACTACATTGCCAGTTCTGTTTGTGAAGGTATTTGGTGGATGGATAATCTAGTTAAATATTTGATTACTGATTCATATGTTAAAAAAGAAATCACTTGGAATTTTATAGTGACATTTTTATCTTTGTACACATAGTTATAGAACTCATTCACCCCTAATCTCTATATATTATAAAAATTGGAGAAATACACTTATTGAATTTACTGATTCTTCGATTCTTTTCATTTACTGACCATTTCTTTTATTCTACTAATCGATTAAATAGTAACAATTTTTATTGACATTAGTGTTTATTTTCAATCCGTACTTTTGTTTCATTTTAGTACCATCACTATGTGCAAGTCTGGTTGATATTCGTCCGAATACAACATGGTTAAAGAATGGTATCACTGTTGCTGGTGGAAATGAAAAAGGCAGTGAAACCAATCATCTGTTATACCCATTGGGTTTGTACGTCGACGATGATCAAATGATTTATGTCGCTGATCAAGATAATCACCGTATTGTTGAATGGAAATCTGGTGCAACAAATGGTGCAGTAGTTGCTGGTGGAAATGGACAAGGAACTGGAGCTCATCAATTATATAATCCATTTGATGTGATTATCGACAAAGAGACCGATAGTCTCATTATCTCCGATTACGGGAATAAAAGAGTAGTTCGATGGCCTCGTCGAAATAGTACTCATGGAGAAACAATTATTTCGAATATCGCTTGCATCGGTTTGACAATGGATGATAATGGTTATCTCTATGTTGCTAACAATGGGAAACATGAAGTGAGACGATATAAAATTGGTGACACTCAAGGAACAATAGTTGCGGGTGGTAATGGACAAGGAAATCGTCTTGATCAACTCTCTGATCCCCGCTTCGTATTTGTCGATCGAGACCATTCAGTTTATGTGTCTGATCATGGAAATCATCGTGTAATGAAATGGGAAGAAGATGCAAAACAAGGCATTGTTGTAGTCGGTGGTCAAGGACAAGGAAATAGTCTTGTACAATTGAATTATCCTTATGGAATTGTTGTCGACCAATTGGGTACTGTCTATGTGGCTGATTGTCACAATCATCGAATCATGCGTTGGCCAAAAGTAGCCATCCAAGGAACTGTCAATATTGGTGGAAACGGTCAAGGAGCACAGTCGAATCAACTCAATGTTCCCGTAGGTTTATCATTCGATCGACATGGCAATCTCTATATCGTCGAATGGGGAAATCATCGAGTTCAAAAATTTAACATTGAATAAACGCAATTCGCATGATTTTCTTTTGCTTCTTTCTCTTCTTTCTCTTTCAAATAAATGGCAATTGAATAAAAAATGCATTGAATGCTGTTCAATTTTTTCGCCTACGCGCGGGAAGACTTATATCAATCACATGCTCCCATACAGTGACACGCATCAATGAACCTGGGTTCGATCGTGGCGCCAGGGCCACCAAGACGATTCCTGGTTGGACTCTTAAAGACTGCCCGGAAGCCTTTCGTAGCAGACCCTAACCCTCAACTAACTTAACGCCACCCGACTCTGACTCAGCTCAACTGAACTCAAAAATAAAAAAACTATTGAATCACTGGTTGACGTTGAATAACGACGCGATGCATTGA